TGCATGGATGTATGTATGTACATATGTTGATATATATATATATATAGAGAGAGAGAGAGTTATATACTTATGCATCTCTTCGGTGATGTGAAATTATTTACTTTTGGTACATGTGTGTGTGTGTGTGTGTATGTGTGTGTGTGTGTGTGCGTGTGTTTATCTGTATGGACTGGGCCGCATGAGTGTAATAACGTAGGGGAACAAGCAAGTGGTGTAGCACCTTACGTGGCTGCGTCGGCAAGATAAGGCATTGCATGTCAGCACGTTGGTGCGCCAGGGCTAAAGAGGGTCGTACTGAAAAGTCGCCTTCGCAGGTTGCTGAAAGATTTACCGGAGAGCAGCTCGCGAATGGGGGAGAGCCCCGGACTTCGGTCCGTCAGTGTTCGGACGGAGAGGCGCGGCCACCAAGACTGTCCTCCAACGGCGAATAGAGCTCTAAACGTGTGGAGATGATGCGAAGTCTGATGCCTTTTCTGAATGTGACTCTGATGCCGAGGACCGAAACCTCGAATACGCGTCCAGCCCGACTTGTCTGCGATTTCGGCGACTCGGTGTCTTCAAACAGCAGCGACGAAATAGAGCAGGTCGAAGCTGAGAAGCCGGACGAGCTTGGGGAGTCGGGCGGCGTGACCTCCCTGACCCCTTCAGACGAGTCCACAGCCACACCCCCTCCACTCGGTGGCCACAGCAGCTGCTCTGAAACTCTGGCATCGGAGGATCACTCAGCACAACAAATTCCTTGGCCCCAGAAGCTGATTGGAAAGGCGATGGAGCCGGCACCGAGTCTGGCCGATGTCAGGGCGAACACAGTGCCACAACGGCGCAGCATCTCGCAGCCTTGCCGTGGACGAGACGTGAGACGGCCGGTAGGACGTCACGAGCCCAAGCGTGCAAGTGCGAGGCTCCAGGCCGATCGCAGGCCAGAGGTCTGGGAACCTTTGCACAAGGTGACGTCCATCAAGGATGCTGCCACACAGACGGCCAGAAGAAAGCCGCGCTGTACCACATCGCAGACGTTGCAGGCGCAGAGCCAGAGGCAAGCTGTGGCCGCTACAAAGACGGTCCGGAAATCTGATATAGGTCCAGGTCTATCCAGAAGTGCTCGGTGCAAGACCCCTCGCAGCCGTGCCCGGGCGAGCAGTGCAAAGCAGGGTCCAAAGCCAAGGCCCTCGACGCGGCCGATGAAGAATCGATCCTACTCAGCCCCCACGGTTTCGACGACCCAAAGATCCGTGGTGGCTCAAAATCAAAAGAGGCGTTGCCACTCGGCGGGCCCTTGCCATCACCGCCGGTGTGTCGCCTGCCTGATGGCGGAGATACGCTCCATGTCCTGGCCTCCCGGCTTGTGTGCAAAGCCGAGTCTGCACAAAGCATCCAAGAGCCGCAGCCAGTCGCATGAGAAGAAGCCAAAGAAGCTGTGCAAGGCGGATCAGACTCAAAAGGCATTGGAGCAGGAAGCTTCTGGGAACTCTCAGGAGGCTACCCAGCCCGAGCAGAGCCGGATGTCACGCCTAGATGGAGCCGTGCAAACCGACAGCTCTGTTTTTCAAGCAGAACTACATAATGCAGAAAATTCGGAATTCGTTGGGCAAGTTGTACAGCAGATGCCACAGGTTGAATGTGCTGCATGTGACGAAGGTTTAGATCGAAGATTGCCCTGTATCCCACCATCGTGGATGTGCATCCAGGAAGTCACATGCATGAGGAAGTTCGTCGGCGGAATTCTCCGAAAACCGACGACAGCTGAAAGCAACTCCAACCTTCGAGCGGCAGGGCTGGCAGCGCTGGCGCAGGCCCAGTTTTGCAGTGATGTGCGAAGATTCCGACAGCTTTGCAACCTGTCAGGTTCCTCGACCGGTTGTGGAGGTGAAGGTGCGCAAGAAAGAGCAGCGGAAAAGCCGAAAGAGTCCGGGACCGAGCTTTGAGCCGCGACAGTCACAGCAAGGCCTAGCGGCGAAGGGAGCAGTCCCTTGCCAGGTCTGCCAGGGCAGAGGCTACGAGCCTAAACCTCTGAAGGCTGCGGCCGTGTGCCTGCGGACTTGGAGCTCTTCGATTTCGGTGCAATTGCCGGGATGACTAAACGATGTGACAGGACGGTGTCAACAGAAGCTGGCTCGGAGTCTTTATGAGATATGGGCGGGAAGATTCCAGCTTGGTTGACTGCAGCTGCTAGTTACACTTAACTCGTCCTGGCTGCACCGATGTTGACACGTTCTTCTCGGGGATGCGAAGCATCTTCGCCCAGGGGTTAACAAGAACCCTAATTCATTGGGCCGAGGGCCCAGGGGAGGATGGGCCGGCTTTCCTCAGCGAAGGAAACAGAATCATGCCCGCGCTTCGCGACACCGCGATGCGTGTCTCGACAGAAAACTCGCAGAATCCATCAGAATCACAGCGTCTCGCACTTGCACAGAGCCATTTCCCAGCAAGACTCTGCCGGGCTGGCCTGCTGCCTCTTTGCAGAGCATGGTGCAGCCGGCTTGATTTTCATGATAGAGCAGAGGGCTGATTCCACAGACTTGCCCCGCAAGTCCATTCGACATTACTACTGTTTTGTAGTTTCAGTTTGCTCATGTTTACACTTGTCACATGTGGTTCTGCTATCTCAATATATGTTACGTCCTGTACATCAAGAAAATACATTCCCTCTCTAGCTCCCTGAGCCAGGCACAGGTGGCCCGAGATGCAGACTCCTTCTATGTACAGGATTGTCGACAGGTGCGCGAGTGCATGCAGCCTCACATGTTAATGACTAATAAGAACAAGCTAAGAGCTACCATAGTCCAATAGTGTAGTAGAAGACTCTACGGCCGACTATAGCAGTGTGATGTGTGCTGCATGCAAGTCTGAGTGTGTGTGTGTGTGTGTATATGTGTGTATGAAGCCTAGTATGTAGAAACAGATAGTATATATGAGAGCATTGATCTAACAGTCGTTGTCGCCGAAGCACCCGGGTCGCATCACCGAGTGTCTACTTGGAGATTCGTGCTCACGTTGATTCGGGATTGTTGAGGCTTGGATGCTGAAGCTGAATTTACAGCAATTCACATGGACACTCGTTCTTTCTGTATCACTGCGTGCTTGCTGTGGGCTGGAAAAATCGGGCGTTACCATAATGCAGCCTGTTTCCTTCTTATATGAGCTACTTATACGGAGGGGGTCTCGGTCAGCCTGATTCCTCATGAAGACACCCGCAAATACAGAGTTGATTAGGTCTTCGATTGAAGTATGGTGTCCGATAGGCATTTTA